CTGTCTATTTTGTAGCAGTTCTCTTGGGCACTCAACTTGATGAACTTGCCATCGATGCCCTGGAAGACGTAGAGGATGTCCCGCACCAGTGCCGCCTCGCTAACCTCCCCTATACCAGCAGAGGACGAGGGGATGAAATGTTTTATCGAACATCAAAAATACACTGTGCTCTCAGAGTTCCCGTTAAATTTAAAAACAAATAAGATAATCTGAAACTATGACATAATCTGGGACATGAGTTTAAACTTTATGTTTTTTAAGAGTAGATATGATTTTAAAAATGTAAGACGATGATGAAGCTCCATATCGATCTATTGTTCTGCTTTAAAAAGACTCAAGACTTAAAATAACAAAACACATTGATGATGTTCTGGTCAGTCTGTAACCTGTGCTGCTTACGGTTATAAGGTTATTCTGTGTTTATATACGTTGCTCAGCACCTGTGTCACCGTCTCGGCGAGGTCGGACCAGTCGTGTGGAGGGAGCTGGAGGTCCGAGAGCTGGCCGGGTGGCGGGCAGGGCCAGAGCGGAGGAAGGGGAGGAGCTCATGGGAAGAGCCCAGGCCAGTCGAGAGCCCAGAGGAAGAGTGGCTGCAGCTGCGGACTGAGGAGGTTGACTAAAACACACACAAACACACCATCACTGTTAGTTACAAAGATCTAACCAATATCCTGCACCAATGTTGTCATTATACAATCATCGGGATATGATCTACTTGGTGTTGATATAAATTTATGCTCTAAATGCAACTTTTTTATTTTCGGAGTAAGGACTTGACCTTTTACGATTAAAAGGTGAGTGCTAACAGCTCAATGGTCATTTTTAACTGAAGGACTCCTGCATTATTAATGAGGATAAATGGAATTAAATGGCCTTCTGGTGCCACATAAAACAGATTTATGTGAGGTCAGGCTGAGAGGCCAGTTCAGGTTCCACTGTTATTGATGCTTCCTTTATTTGATGTTGTTTTTACAAATCGAGCGTCAATAAGTAAACCTGCTCTCACAAGAGGCTTTCAGGTGAAACTGTGAGAGTGTACTCATTATTTTGACCGCATAAATAATAATATAAAGCAGGCTTCAGAATCACAGAGGAGACCACTGTGGCACCAGATGCTTTTAAATGCTTTGTCTGTCTTCTCACCCGGCCAGTAGTGACTGCGGCGTCGGTGTGGGTCCGTTCAGCGTGTAGACTCCCAGACTGGAGATTCCGCTGGTGCCGACACTGGCTGTCAGCCCGCTGCTTCTCTCCACGTAGCCCAGGGCCAGGCTCTGTGGCCGGGTGCAGTAGAACGGGGTGGAGTGGGCGTCCCTGGGGAGGGCCTGGGCAAACAGCGCCCCATAGTTGCCAACCTGAGAAGGATGGGTAGACGATGAGGAGGTGAGAGAAGTAGGTTTCAACCTCAAACTTTTATTTTGGTCCTTTTATAGAAAACCTATGGGATAATTATAACCATAAAATAAATGAACGTGTGTGTGTGTGTATGTGTCTCACCCTGCTGGATGGTTTACGAGGGTCCTCAGAGAGGCTGAGCAGCAGGTAGAGAACAGACCAGCGATGCTTCAGAACACCCTGTCAAACAGTAAACACAGCACAAAATATCCCTTAATAACAACAAAATACAAACAGTAACTAATACATAAATAAAAAAATACATTTTAAATTGATCAGATTCCACATGATGATTTGAAGCACTGAAGAAAAAAAGTACTCACCTGTGTCTGAAGTTTTCTATGCAGCTCAGAGAACAAAGCAGCGTCTGCCTCTCTCCTCTGCCTCAGCACTGCAACAGCATCAAGACAAACTTTGTAAGTCCCCTGCAATATTAACTTTACAATCCTGAACGATCACCATGTTTTAAATTGCAGAGTAAAGCAAAAGGAAAGTAAATATCAAACTGATGAGGAACATGAGGTCAAGAAGATGTGCTTAGAAAAAAGTCTGCATAGCTCGCTCTGTTCTACAGAGAAACAAAAAACTTCAGTGTCTGTTTCTATGAGATGTTTTTAGACCTGAACAATACCAGCAGTCTGTCCACACGTTGCTGATGTTAACATCTTACTACCAGCTGACACGTCTCACTTTGTGGCCAGAGCTGAATTGCATTCTTGTAGCTGCTTTTGTTGTTTACACTGCAATACATTATCAACCTGAACCAAATATCTGATTTACTCACATCAGGAATGGATATTTAACCCAGTCAGCAGGTGCCTGTTATACAGTAACAACCAGAATCGTTATTTTAATGGCACCTCAGAGACCTTCAGTCAACCTGTGATAAATAAATTATTCTCTGCGGTAAGTGCTGCACTATTTCTGTTTTAGCTTTGATCAATGTTTTCCCACTAATGGTGCCATCTTCCACTAATGAAAGTTTCTTTGGTGGAATGACTCCAGCGTAAAAGGCATTGAACACATGGGGAGAAAAGCCACAGTAGTTCAATAATCAACAGTATGACTGTCTCGTCAGGGGACAATATTCATTCAAAGGCCAGCTTACGTTCTTTCTTGATCTTCTCTGACACCAGGAACTCATCCCGTTCAATGGTGGGGGCGTAGTTACTGCCGATGACTCGCACTGCATACTGGAACTGATGGGCGACTTCAGCTGGAGAAATAAACCACCAGTGATGAGTTAAAGTCAAGGAAACACTTTCAGGTAATGCAGAAATAACCATCACTTAGACCCAGTAGAATGCTATAGTGTTTCCATTGAAAAAGAACATGCACATTATAAAACTTCAGGATTCTGCTGTGAAAACTATTAATGTGACTGCAAAGCATTGCTGTGTTTGATCACATGATAACAGTGATCTGTTTGCTTCTGTGTTTGATCACATGGTCACAGTGATCTGTTTGCTTCTCCTCTGTGAGCAAGACATGCTAACCATCCTCTGAGATGCCAGCATCCAGCAGAGGCCTGCAGCTAGCAGGACCAACCAGTGTAGTGATCAGCATCACAGCTAAATTGCTAACAAGCTAACAGATACCCGGGGTGAAATCAAATCATCTGATCAATACAAAGCTAATAGTTAATAGGTCCATGTAGCATGAAGCTAAGTATGTGTGTGCTTACAGCCGAGCCCATTGGCTGACAGCGGACCAAGCCCCGCTTACGTGCCGTTATCCTGCTCAGCTAAAGAGACACCAATCCTCATCTGTATTTCTTATGATTTAGTGTGTTGCATCACTTGTATGGACTTGAAGAAATAAGCTATATTGTAGCTTTAATTCGGCTTTTCTCCAACAAAAGCAAGTGGCCGTTATCCCAACGAAACTCCCATCGTTTTCTACAACACTCCGCCACAAAAATATACCGGGTTGAGCCAATGAGAGCAGTGAAAGTGTTAAATTATTGATAAATGTGGGGCTGTCAGGTGTAGGAAACATACGCCGAAGTGGTCAGTAGACTGTAACGATTAAAAAAATGCATATACAGATTAAGTTACGCTTTTAAAACTTGAATTGTGCAGAGAAACGTTTAAGTGAAGATTTCTTTAAATGATGTTTGGTTTGGATTTCGCATTGAACGCGACTGGCGCGGAGCTTGCCAGCGTTAGCGGGCGTACCTTCGCTTTTCCCCGTGATCCTGCAGCAGAGGCTCTGGAGAAGCACGTTGGGGGATTTCTGGTCCAGGGTCGCCATGGTGCAAACGGGGCTAACGCTCCGTGAGTTGCCCGGTAGTTTATTAAATGTCACTGATGATGTGAACTAACTCCAGACTCCCACTAAGAGCTGCGCCATTTTGACAACTTGAGTCAAGCTAGCGTGAGGCAGGAAGCACATGCCAGCAGTTAGCGGCCTTTTGCTTCAAAGTAAAAGCATTGAACTCTGGCCGTATCCTTGACCATATTTATATATATCTATATATCTTTATTTTCTTCAATATATTTGTACCTGTCATGAGAAATGTTACATATTTAATAGGTTCCCTGACATGAAAATGTAAATAGCAATTTATTCAGTTATATTTGAATGCATATGTCAAGTAAACGTATGGAAATGAAATACATAAACATATAAGCACTTCAAAGTATTTATTAAAATATCATATTAATAATATGGTAATTTATAATACCTACATTTTTCTTTCTACATGATGTGCAAAATAGATAACTGCCTTTTCACACATTTAAATCCATCTAAATGATTGTGCTCAGACAAACTCCCTTCAGCAGGGGTTTTATTGTGAAGTTAAGAACCGGATGCGGTGGGTTTTATTACAGTTACCTTGACGCCGGTGTCCCAACAGAACCCGCCGAAAAGCGTCTCCAGGAAACAGAGGCTGGACAAATGAAGGAAAATAGTTCCCCCCGGAAACAAAGCACGAAGATTCATGGTTCTGACCATTTATTTCTACACAGTGATGACTTAATATTGTGTTGACTTTCAGTTGCAATGATTTATACTATTAATTATAATATTACATATAGATTTTATGAATATTATTTAAATATTCCAAATAATAAGTTGGATGTGGGTTTCCTTTTTTCACGGATTTTATTATGTTGCTTAAAATAGAGAGTAATAACAACTAATAGCTTTTGTGTCCAAGATAAAAGAATACCATCTTTTGACGATAGCAGACGATAAAATAAATTGACTGGACAATAGAAATAAAAATCAAACTACTAAAGTTTCTGACAAACACACAAACACTTGCTTTGATTCAATCCCATTCACATGACCCAATGTTCAACAGCTACGTACATCATTTAACATGTTTAAAGATCATATGAAGTTAAGTATATTCTTACAAGGAATTCGCTGTGGTGTGTATGGCAAGTAGAAATATGAGACGTACATAACAAAACTAATAGAGTAAATAAATAGATCATATAATAAACACACACACACACACACACACTGATCTCCTAATTAACTGGTGCGCACGCGCTCTCCTGCAGTCACCACCTGGACTGGTCGTGACGTCACAGAGAGAAAAGCTTCTTTTGGCCGCGGCGCGCGACACAAGCAGATTACCGGGACGCGCGCCGCTGCGAGCGAAGAAGAGGGAGCGCGCGTGAGGCGGGCGGAGGTAACTCCATGCAGAGGAGGGGCGCGCTTGTCTGTACCTGCGTAAAGTGCGTAAAACCCCCGCTCCGCTCCCCCGCCTCCACTGAAGCCTGTTGGGTGAAGTGTGGTCGGACCGAGCGCTCCTCTCTGTCTCCATCCAGGAAGACGAGCCGCCGGAGAAAGTCATGGAGCGAGGAGGAGATTTAAAAAGAAGCTAGCGCGCTCAGCCCCGCGGAGAGAACACCACTGACGCCCCGCAGAGACAGAAGAAGTGTCAGCGCAGGAAAGAGGAACAGGATGGGGATGGATCTCAGCACCCTCCGGACCCTCATCAGCAGATACGTAAGTTTGGATTTGGTGTGTTCCGTAAACTCAGGCGGTCTCCTGCCACTGTTGGTTTCAGATTCCGCCGAAGCGGCCACTCATCCGGATTAAGTTCCACTCGGGAAAGCGAAGTGGAAAGAAGCTGAAAGGGGAATTATGAGGAAGACACCTTCAGTCATGAGTGTTTTATTTGACAGGAAGTTGTTCTTTGCTCTTGTTTTCAAGTTGAAATATTTCACAACCCACTCAGACACACGGAAACGAAGTGTTTGAACTGACACTGGCTTCAACATTTTCAAATCAGCCCTAAAGTATCACGATAAAGTGTTATTCCTCTTAAACTTTCCTCAGTGGGCAGAGGACAAGGCGATCTTGTTTTTGATGACAAACATATAACGATCATTATTAATGTCGCATAATTGCCCAGAGATACTCAGAACCCTGTCCTAACAGGATTTCTCTATATGTTTTTAACTTTAAAGTGGATAATCTATCACTCATTTGAAAATCTTAATCTTAAAACTCATTTTGTGTTTTGAAAAACAGTCTAATAATGTTACTTTCTAAATATAAGTGAAGTAGTTTATGTTAGATCAGCTAATGATGTGTTTTTGAATTTTGAATGGTATAGTGGTATTATTGTATAATTGTTTGGTTGTCACATGCGTTATTTATGAAGACGTAATTTAAATCATTGGAGCCGACACTGTGGAACCACAGCAACGTTCATACCTTCAGTCAACATTTGCACTTTAATAAGAGAAAGGTGCAGTCAGAAATGATGTCACCAGTTGTAATGCAGCATTGTGGAGAGGATATTCATTCATGACTTCATGACTTCTTAACGTACGTCGAGTCAGTTTCAACATCTGTGAAATCCAATTTTTAGGAAAAAATAAATCAACACACTCTCTGAATGCAGGAGGTGGAAGCTTTTATCTTGTAGTTTTTAAATGTTTTCACTCATAGATATTTTCATGTGACCTAAAAAGTGATTCATTCACTTTAGAGCATCTCCTGTGCTATTTGCTCTCATTTATTATGCTACTCCTTCCAGTTGACCATGACTACAAATGGAAGAGTCGCTCACATGAATTATGTAATCCAGTATTTTTACCCTGCTAGTCAAATCGATGGGCAGCAGTGAAGCAGCCGGCCTCTATGTCTATGACTTGCATTAGGCTCCTGTGTAATGTCTTTGACAATAATCCAGACAGAGGAAGCCCCACTCACATGAGAGATAGCGAGCTTCATACCGAGGCTCCATGCTCAGCAGAGGCTTAGACACAGCCTCCCAACTGTTGCAAATGGCTGATTAGATAAGTCCCTGCTGTGTGCAGGGTGAAATGGAGCCTTGTAGTAAGAAACCTGCCGAGAAGAGTCTTTGATTGGAAGGATGTGGGATGCTGATGAGGTCTGCTGCTGTAATTGATCTGGATAACTGCTTTAGACAAATGGCTTAGGGTAAATTGATTGTGTTGCTGTCACAAAAACCCGGATGCAAAGAGACTGCTGAATACTAAAATTAGGGCTCGGAGCCTTTATCTGTTTGTCAATACAGTGCTTTTATGAAATATCAGTCAATACTATAGGAGCGAGTAGGAGGAGAGAGGGAGGCTCTTCTTCTGACTGCATCTTGAAAAAGAACCTCATTATAAATTCAGTCTTTATTTGCTATTTGCTATATTTATTTGCTGTGCTCTTAAGAATTCTCATGATCATGAAGGGTTAATTGTTCTTATATCAGTTAAATGTGAAATTTGTTCTAATATCCATGAGGGCAACATTGTTTTCAAATGCACTAAGTTCTTCAGAATTGCTCCTTTAGAGGCTCTAACCATCAGTATTACTCATATTTATTAGAAGCTTTTATCCAGGAAGCAGTTCTCGTGTTGGGCTTGTATTCATTACGCTTCGGGCATGTCCAGGTTTGTCTTGTGGAAACACCTCAAACAGCTGTGATTCAGACACAGACAGAATTATATGGAGTTATAAATATCCTGGTAGTTTCACGGTAACTGAACAATAAAGCAAATCAATAGTCAAACAATAAAAACAAGCTGATTCTGTGAAAACCCAAAATCAACCTGTATCAGATGCTCACTACAAATGATAGAAAGCTTTGTTTTGATTGCAAAGATCTTATTTTGAATTAAATAAGCATCTTCACCACAGAGGAAATTTTCATTAGGAAAAAAATGCAGACAAGATTAAATTTCTTTCCAAAATAAAACCTCCTTTTTGTTGCATACATGTAGTTGATGCAGAAGATGTTATATAAGCCTATGGATCCCTTTTTAAAGCAGAACATGTAGAGTGGTAGTCTTTGTGGCTGTCACTCCTGTTCAGGCTGAATGAGAAGCAAATGTAATCACAGTGACGGGCGGGAGCACTGAGATCCAGTGTACTTGTACTGTATTCTCACTGCTCCCCTGCTTCCCCCTTTCTTTTCTCTTCTCAGGGTTGTTTTAGGCTCTGAAAGTTTTTAAAGACTTCCAACAGTCTTTTTTTTGTTGTTGACCATATCACATTTTTCTTCTTGTCGGATGTTTACCCCTGTCTGTCTTTGTAATTAGTTTATCGCCAGTTATGCTCAGTCAAAAGAAAACTATATTTTCTAGGCTGTATTTGTATTTGGTCTTTTTTATACTTACCTCTCACTAATGGTGGAGTATTAGATACCGATGTTATTGTGATGGAGTAGCTGCTGTACAGAAATTAGATGGTAACTGGTTTGCTGAGGATGCATGAGTTTACAAAGCATCATGGGTAAAATTAGCCCCAGTTTGTTTCTGTCACAAGCATCCACTTTTATAATAACTGATCTTTGAAAATCCTCATTTATGAACATTTAGCGTTGTTTGAAGTTATTTCCAGAATAATCAAAGACTCTTCGAACCTGCTGAAAAATCATCTGTCTGCTGCTTGATTATTTTTAACCTGTTTCCTGTCCAAGTAATCATAGCTGACATATTACCTTGCTTGTTTTATGACAAAGGCATTGTGTCTAGTAAATCTAATATTATCTACACTGAATTTCTTCGATTACAATCTGTAATTTTGAAATGATCTTCCGTCTTGAATAATGATAAAATCCAGACTGAGCCGCTGCAGTTGTTTTGCAGCTGTGAGTGAAACAAGGTGAAGTTATCATGTCTCTGTGTGTGGAGGTGGGCTGAAGCTGTCGGGCAGCATTCCTCTGCAGCTGACTGATCTGGATTCCTGGACAGGAAGTGCCTCTCCTCTCACTCTGCCTGGCTTCCTGCCCTCCCATAGTGGAGCAAGGGGTTACCGGCATTCACTAGACCTTCAACCACTTAATATAGTTTAATTTCAAATCTAAACCAAACACTGATCTCCTGCTCACATTCTACCTGTTGCAAGTTCTCATCGGCACATTAGAGTGAGTGAATAGTGGCTGGTGGTCAAACTGTTGTCTCAGTAGTGTTACTGTTACCTCATGCAGGCTTGTAAGTGGGGAGGTGGAATACAGTAAGAGCCAGGTGACGCAGAGGGCAGCGTATCACATGAACTCATTGCCGTTGTCTGGTTGTCAATAATTCATAAGCACGCTGGCTGGCAATGTGGGCTGATGATTATGTTGCTTGTTATAGAGGCTTCCACTGCAGGCCTTCTCACTATGGGGTGCAGGGACACCCATGGGAGCTTGAAAAAGGATTCCAGGAGGACCCCAGTGAGATAAGGAATGGACATCTTACTCACATTAACTTATGTTGGAATCTTTAGTTTATACTAGTTTACCATCATTTTGGTGGTGTCATGTTAAAAGGTCAAATAGGAAAAAAGACCCCACCACACATATACAGGCACTGCTCTTTTATTTTGCATTTAAACACTCAAATCTAAAGAAGATCTCCCTGAATTTCATTTTATGCCGCAATGCAGGTGACACCAAGTGGCCGGAGGCATAATGCTTTTGCGTTGTCTGTCCATCTGTCCGTCCTTTTCTTGTGAACACGATATCTCTAGGACACCTTGAGGGAATTCTTTTAATATATCTGTGCAGTAGTGTGTGTCGGATATTGAATGAGGTCACTTTTCAGGACTTTTAAAAAATGCATTTTTTATTTTGAAGGACAGTCGTATTTTTGGAAAACTGTATAATTGATTCTTTTGCTCGTGTTTGGCAGCAACAGCAGATTTCTCCTCCTCATGCTAATCATTTAACACCCGCCTGTCTATACTGTCCACAGCCCACAAAGAGTACCAGGGTTCACCTCTTTACCTAAAGGATTTGCCGGCTCTAGCTAAGCCTCTCGGTCTTGGGATTGTTTGGCTGCCTGACCTTACTGCTGTCACTTTTCAATCTTATTTGGCCGCATGAATCATATTCAATGTTCGGCAAAAAACAGCAACATAAAAACAACTAAACTCAATCAAATCAGACTAAATCTAATAACAAAACAGAAGGAAAAATGAAATCTTGAAGACGTCACTATGTAAGAAGTGATAAGTACATGATACTTATCATTTAGTGTTTAACTGAATGCTGGGCTTCTTTTGTAAATGTCAGAATCACCTTGCCACAAAAAATGACTGACTCGGGTCACCCACATGAGCAGTGTTTTGTGTATTACTTCTATTCTAAAAATGATAAAAACATTGTGCCCCAACCAAATATAAATCTTCAAGGTTCCTGAATTGTTAAGTAATTGATTAATTCCCTGAACTGTCAGCTGAGTATTTGATGGTCTTTATTGGAGCAGTAACAAATACCCTGCAATTCACTAAACAAAGAACAAGAGATCAAAAATAAAAGTATAAAGGTTGAATAAATGTCAAAATAATTCTAACAAACATAAACCTACATATAGAATTGCTGTATCACTGCTTTTTTAAATAGTTTCTCTCCTCTTCTGAGTGTGAGCTCCATTACTTCAGCTTCAGTGTTGTTGCGGCAACATTAACAGTGTATTACAGCCCATTGGACAAGGAGACAGATGATGGATCGACCTGGGTTAATGGTGCGTGGAGGTCTCTATCCAAAGAGAGGCCAG